ATTTTTCTGATTTTCAAAAATGAGCATGATATTTTTAAAAGGAAAGGAAAAGCCTTTATTCAGTTACCAGTTAATAATCCTAGCATGAAACTCTTTTTCATTAGACAGCATATTCTGTTTTTCCTACAGTGGCTCATATGCCATTAGTCCCATCTAGCATTTGTATTTCTTATCTCTAGAAGTTCGATTTGTACCTTACTTTATTACCCATGTCTTTACTAACATGTTTAGTCTTTTCTGTTTTGAGCACGTGAAACACAGTTATAACTCTTGTAATGTCCTTGTTTATAATACTATAATCTGTGCCATTGGTTCATACTTATTTAATATTTAATGGAAAAATATAAAAATGCAGAAACATTTTTAACATGTGTAAACTACAAATACTACCTACCAAGTTTAAGTTTTAGAATATTATAAGCCTGTTGTATCGCCTATCTCTATAACTTTTCTAAATGTTGTTATTGTTTGTATGTCCCTAAATAATATATTGTTTAATTATACATGTCTTAATATAAATTACCTCTTGCTGTGTGTATTCTTCTGAAACTTGTTCTTCTTCCTTAACATTGTTATTGAGAGACATCATTATTGATGTGTATACTTGCCATTGTTTTTACTCTTCTGTAGTAGTATTTTGAAGGAATATATTTTTGTTTATCTGTTCTCCAGTTGATGGTCATTTCAGTTATACACAGCTTTGTTTTGTTTTTTAGAATGCTTTTATGAACATTCTTGTATACGTCTTCCAGTATACAAATATGAGAATTTCTCTGAGTTATGTGCCTAGGAGTGGCATATTTTGGTCATGGGGATATTCATATGAAATCTTATTAGGTTATCCAAATTGATTTCTAAAGTGTTTTCTTCTCATTTACAATGTTTTTATATATATATATATATATATATACACACACACACACACACACACACACACACACACATACAACATATACATAACATACACATATACATACATGTACACATACATATATTTATATGTATGTATGTATTTACTGTTACAATTAACATTGTAGAAAATATCTTTCCAGATATATTCACTTTTTTCTTCTTTTAAAATATTACTTATTTTAGAAAGAGAATCATTGATTTAGAGGATACAAATTTTTTATTAGTTAGCCACCTTATTTTAATTTTTATATTATTATTTTGACTTCCCATGTACTCTTTAATTTGGTTTTATTTGTTATGAAAGTATGCATGTATAACATATTCAAGTAGTTATCCAAAGTTTATTGTTAAAAATAGCAGGTCCCTGCCCTTTTTTCTGCCCTGTTTACTTTTCCCTAAAGGCCACCATTTTCAACATATTTGCTGATTCTTTTGATATTTAGCTCCATAGCTCTGAATCACCTGCCTGTATTTCCAATTCGTAATTTTTAACTTCTTTGGCTTCCCGCTTTGAAGCATGAAGATTTAGTCTCCTTCATTTCTTCCAACTTCCAGCACCATCCCAACTTCACACCTGTACTCTTCCCTCATCTCTTTTATCCCAAATGAATAATGTAGTGCTAACATTATTGTGAAAAGTAAATGCATAGCTGAGTTACTTAGCACACTATAATTACTCTTCTTTTTGTTTTTTTCTAAATAGAGGAGGATGCTAGTAAAGGAAGAGGCAGTGAGGATTTTGAAATCTTAAGGGGAATTTGTATCACAAAGGAGGATTTGTGGAAGGAGATAACATTAGTCAACAGGAAGCAGTAGATTCCATGAATGGGAGAGGAATATGATGAGAACGTTTGTTCCGGTAGCCATGTGTAGTAACAACTAGAACATTGAAAGCCTATGAAAATGATTGGCATGTAATTTTTAATTTTATTTATTTATTTATTTTATTTTTAATAAATGTATTTATTTATTTTTGGCTGCGTTGGGTCTTCGTTGCTGCCCACAGGCTTTTCTCTAGTAGCGGTGAGCTGGGGCTACTCTTCGTTGCGGTGCACGGGCTTCTCATTGCGGTGGCTTCTCTTGTTGTGGAGCACGGGCTCTAGGCGTGCGGGCTTCAGTAGCTGTGGCTTGTGGGCTCTAGAATGCGGGCTCAGTAGTTGTGGCGCATGGGCTTAGTTGCTCCGCGGCATGTGGGATCTTCCCGGACCAGGGCTCGAACCCTTGTCCACTGCATTGGCAGGCGATTCTCAACCACTGCACCACCAGGGAAGCCCATGTATTTTAGTTATAAATAATTTTTATGCCATTGAGGTTTAGTTTGAAGACTAAAGGGAAAAAAAAGGGCAATCCTAGGAAATAATGCAGTAATCAATCACTGAGATCAAGTGACTGCTTGGGGCAAAGTGTAAGAAGTTTATTCTAAACTTTTAGTAATTTGAGACCAGGACAGTGAAGGTGGGGGAAATCAGAATGTATCTTTTAGTATCTTAAATTTCAAAATGGAGTACATTTGACCAAAAAAAAAAAATTTGTTTATCTTACCCATACTCTTGAAAATTTTTTTTAATTTTTAAATTTAATTGTATTAAACATTTTATTGGAGTATAGTTGATTTACAGTGGTTCAGGTGTACAGCATAGTGATTCAGTTATACACACACAAATATATATATATATTCTTTTTCAGTTTCTTTTCCATTATAGGTTATTACAAGATACTGAATGTAGTTTCCTGCACTATACAGTAGCATCTTTTTGTCTATTTTATATGCAGTAGTGTGTATCTATTAATCCCAAATTCCTAATTTATCCCCCCACTTTTCCCTTTGGTAACCATAAGTTTGTTTTCTATGTCTGTGAGTCTATTTTTGTTTTGGAAGTAAGTTCATTTGTATCTTGTTTTTAGATTCCACATGTAAGTGATACCATGTGATATTTGTCTTTCTCTGTGTGACTTATTTCACTTAGTATGATAATCTCTAGGTCCATCCATGTTACTGCAAATGGCATTATTTCTTTTTTATGGCTGAAATTGTTTATGTATACCACATCTTCTTTATCCATTCATCTGTTGACGGACCTTTAGGTTGCTTCCATGTCTTGGCTATTGTAAATAGTGCTTCTCTGAACATTGGGGTGCATCTATCTTTTTGAATTAGAGTTTTTTCCAGATATATGCCCAGGAGTGGAATTGCTGTGTCATATGGTGAGTCTGTTTTTAGCTTTTTAAGTAATATCCATACGGTTCTTCATAGTGGCTGCACCAATTTACATTCCCACCAACAGTGTAGGAGGGTTCCCTTTTGTCCACACCCTCTCCAGCCTTTATTATTTGTAGACTTTTTGATGATATCTATTCTGACTGGTGTGAGGTGATACCTCATTGTGGTGCTGATTTGCATTTCTTTAATAATTAGTGGTGTTGAACATCTTTTCATGTGCCTGTTGGCCATGTGTATGTCTTCAGAGAAATGTCAGTTTAGCTCTTGATCATTACCACAACTTAGGTTAAACATAATTTTCTCAAAATTTTCTGAAAAGTAAAATTTAAAAAGCAGATTAAAAAGATTTTCTCTGGATTATAATCCACCCTACATATACATGATAGATTGGTGTATAAAGTACTTTGGTGTTCATGAATTTATTTTGATTCTGATGATAAGAGTTATGTAGGGTGTGAATTATAAATTATTGTCATTTTACAGATAAAAAAATTGAGACTCAGGGTATATCACATGATTATGATCACCTAGTGAGTAAATTATGAGGCTGAATGTAAACTCAAATGATTTAAAGGCATTTTCAGTACTCTTTCCACTGTAGAAAGCTATAAGTCCCTTTAGATAGACACATTTAAAAATGCTTATGGTTGAAGGACAGTTGGCAATAACCACTATTAGATGCCCTTTACATTGTTTCCTTCTGTCCTCTAGTGTAGAACTAACTATACTGTGTGCAGTCAGCAGATATTTGAGGGCTAAGTGGCTAGTTAGCATTGTACTGGATGCTTTAATGTAGTTTCACCTAGGCAGTGCGTTGTGACCCAGCTGAAGAAAAATATGACAGTATGCAAGTGCTAGGGATATATTTTAAGACTTAAAATTCTAATTAGAGAATATAGTGAAAAACACACTTGATATTCTGTTGAGTAACTGGAAAACAGTCATCTTCTATCTAAATCATTTTTGTTTTATAGAAACAATTTTTCTTGTTAAAATAGAAAATACGTCTTTTAGAACTGTGTCTAAGGTGCACAATGAAACCTTGACCTTCATTTGTAGCATTTTAGTTACCTCAGATATGTCTAAGATTAAGCCATTAAATAAATAAATTTCTCAAAATCTAAATGTGCAGAGACAACTGTTGTTAACTTCTTGGTGGATACCTTTTCACACTTCTTGCTCTGTGTGTATAATTCTCTAAGTAGAATATGTATAATTCTATGAATAGAGTTATAATTCTGTAAACTAAATTCTATAATTCTACTTATAGAAAATAAAGTTTATAGAATTATATAGTATATAATCATATTTTATATGTAATTCTATAAATGGAGTTAAGTTCTTTGTGTAATTTTTTTCATTCAGTCATATGAAAATCCTTCAATGGAAGTAAGTAAATTAGGTCTGTTGTGTGATCATGTAAAGTGGTAGCATGCTAAAATTTTTTCATCATTAATTTATCATTGTCCAAGTGGTGGACATTTGTTTCAAAAGTTTTGTTATTATAGAATAATTTTTAAAACTGTCCTGCAACTTGAGAAATTTCTAAGATCATCAGGATCTTTATATTTATATTAAATGTGGCACACTTTTTTGGTAACTTGTTGACATTATTTTGAATTTACAATAATCATAATTCTACTCTTGCTTTACCAACTCTGTAATGTTGGAACTTTTTGCTCCAGAGTAAAGTTACTTATTAAGTAGAAAATGTTTGGGTAACTATGTTTTTTAAAATACAGATTTTGAAAGGGAGTAGTGTTCAACAGCAATTCTGTAATATTTCAAAGAAGTTAGACATGATGTTTTGATACCTTGATATTTATTCAATATTGAAATATTTAAATGTGTGTAATTTTTTTGACAGATTATCTTTCTCAAGGAATAGATCTTGCTGGAATAGAAGTAATAGAAAATGATCTACTTTTTGTTGCGAGAGCTCGACTTGAAGTGGAAAATCAAGCTAAGCGCCTCCTGGAGCAGGGTGTGGAGACTCAGGTAATACAAATAATGTCACTTTTTTTAATGTGAAAAATGTGTCATAATACAGATGAACATTTGATTTTGTGTTGAAAAAACTAATGTGTATCCTTATTTTATCACTGAAGAACTATGTCTACAATTTGAATTGGAGAGTAGGGCATAAAATTAGTACAAGGAAAAATTTTAAAATACATATTTACTTAATTCTACTGAAAATGGATTCTAAGATTTCTAATGTAAAATGTGTATAATATGAAATATATTTTAATATAATGTGTTTATGTAGATAGATAGTTAACAGATGTTGCATAGGCTTCCTTTGTCCAAGTCACTGGTACACATTTAAGCTTTTCAGAAACCCAGTAAGGATGGTATTACTGCTATTTCCATTTTACAAATGGGGAAACTGAGAGCTTAAATAATTGGTCGAAGATCACACATTCCAATAAATGATGTAGTCTGGCAAACATTAAGTACTCTAACCCCAGAACCTTGCACCCTGAATAATCACTGTGCCAGAATTTTTTTTTTAGAAATTGACTCGAGATTTCTCCTAAGATATCACTTTCCTGATGCTTAATTTTCTGAATTACAAGAAACCTAGAGGTCTTGATGTAGTAGAATCAACAAATTAGATATAAATCTCAGTTTTTCTACATTTGTATTGCACCCAGATATTTTCTCCATTTGTACTGGACCCAAATACCATTGTTAGTATCCATTTTAAAATTCTTATTCTTTAAACCAGGAATTTCATTTTGTGCATTTGTATTGGACAAAAACAATTTTATAACTATTCAGTTCTTTAAGTAGTCTCTGAATCAGGAAGGTATTTATTTGACTTTAAGTTCTTAACTGTTGTAATTAAAAATAACTGAATGTCAGTTACTGTTTTGAATGAATTTTTAAAGTTGATTATCATATATATAATGGAAAGTGAACAAATTATAGACATACACGTAGAATGAAATATCGCAGTGTGAACACACCTGTGAAATTAAAACCCAGGTCAAGAAATAGGACGTTACCAGCATTCCTGGAGTCTCTTCACTCCCTCTCACAATCACTTCTCTCTCCTTCTTTCCCAAAGGTAGCTTTTATTCTAACACTAGAGTTTAGTTTTACCTGCTGCCAATCATGTTTTAACTCGCAGTCTCACTGTGAAGATAAAATGCTTATACTGTTTAAAAATAAGATACTTGTCTACATCAAATAATAGAGGATACTTTATTCTCAAAGAAATATTTAAGGAATTCCAAGTCAGTTTTGAATTAACATGAATATTTCTATAGAAAATGGCTTTAGCCCAGCTCATTTAGTTGCAGGAAAGGAAACAAGTAACATTTCAGAAAGTGCAGTATCACAAGATTTTTGTATTTGTCTAATGTTCCTAGTATCACTACATTAGAGATTTAAAACTTTATAAATACTGTTTAGTGTTTTTTTACCTGTGAAGTTTTTATTGCTCTGTATATGTATGCATATATCTTTAATTTATGCAATTCTTAATAATTCACTGTATTTTAGAGTCATGGAAATGAAAACTAATAATGGCAGAAAGGAAACAATATCACAGTTTGTAGAACTAAAATACTATTTTTAATAGAGATGGGGGATTTTAACACAAAGAAATGGTTACCTTTAAAGGCTTATTTTTTATTGTATTCTCATATATTTAAAGTGGGAAAATATTTTCTAGGATAGTTGTTCCTAAGCAAATTTATTTTAGGTATGTTGCTATTTTGTGTACATTTTTTAAATATAAATTTATTTATTTTATTTTATTTGGCTGTGTTGGGTCTTCGCTGCTGCGCGCAGGCTTTCTCTAGTGCGGCGAGTGGGGGCTACTCTTTGTTGTGCTGTGCGTGCTTCTCATTGCGGTGGCTTCTCTTTTTGTGGAGCACGTGCTCTAGGTGCGCGGGCTTCAGTAGTTGTGGCACGCGTGCTCAGTAGTTGTGGAGCACTAGGTGCTCCGCGGCAGGTGGGATCTTCCCAGATCAGGGATCGAACTTGTGTCCCCTGAATTGGCAGGCAGATTCTTAACCACTGTGCCACCAGGGAAGTCCCATGTGTACATTTTAATAGTTGTCAAATATGACTTTGCTTCAGTTTTTAACTCATAGTGAAATTAAACTGTTAAACTTTTAAGGAACTAATATTCCCTAAATATTGATAGTGTTGTTATATTTTCAGACTCTAAAGTTAGGCAAAAGATTATTTAAGTTGGTGACTGTTGTTGTTTAGCCAATGGCCTATATGTAATCAATGAAATTAAGTTAGAAAGGTAAAGAAGAAAAAAATCTAAAATATTGTGTGTCTACATGGGTAGGTGTGAAATGGTCTGCGTAGAACCAGGGAGCTTTAATTTTGTTGTGTTTCAGGGTGGTTTAGAGGAAGGTAGATTCTGCTCAGTGGATGGGAATACTGTCTCTTTGTAAGGCTGTATATATTATTTTATCATAGTTTGTTGACATTAGCCATTAATATTTCCCAATTCCTTAGTCTTGTTAAATTCCATAGGTATAACGTAACCTTCTGAGTATAATTTGGCTTCCTCCATAATTTTCCGAAAGGGAGAAAATGTACCTATTTGCCAATATTAACATTCTGGTTCATTTCACAATTTTTACAATATTTATCATGTGTAAACTGATATTCGTGTTTATAGCATCATTTATTTCTGAATTTAGTCATGTGTGTCTGTCTCCCTCAGACCTGGGTGCTCTGCGTTATTTTCACAAAGTCAGGTTTCTGGCTTTGCAGAGCTGAGGAGATTGAACCCTTATCAGTAATGATGTCCCTGAGATAATGTTCTTGGGAAGCTGGATGTTTTAGTGGAAAGAGCCTGTGTTTTGGAGCCTCTTTCCTTTTCCTCTTAGAAAGCAACAAGTCAGAGGTGTCATCCAGCTGTGTCAGCAGGCAGTTTGGGAATTAAGGATGAAACTAACCTTTATTGAATGCCTCTTCTCTGCCAGGATTTTGTGTTAGTCACTTTACATTTGTTATCTCAGTCAAAGTGACAAATATGTGAGGAAGATATAATTATCCACTTTTTATAGTTATGGAAACAAAGGTCTGGAAAGGTTAAGAAATTAGCTGTAGATTACTCAGCTAGCAAGCAGTAGTCATGGTCTGGAGTGCTTGCTACCCCCCTTTCTTCAATAGAACCAAGCAGTTTATTCTAATTTTGTTAAATAATTACATTTTAAATCATTTGACAATTTGTGAAGCAATTTATATTGAAAAAGGAATTTTTAAAGTGTTAAAATTTCTTTGGGAAGCTTCCATGTGATGACTAATCTTAACCAGTTCCTCAGTATTCCTCAAAATTTTTATGTTTCTCTGGCAAACTTTCTTTTTTCCATTCTCTGAAATGACTGTTTTAGACTCTCCACTTTCCATTAACGTTACCCTCTCACCCCACATACCAACTAAGGCGGATGCCCTTAATTTCTGCTTCATAGAGGTGCCTCTCACATCACCTGTACTCTGGATCCCATTTTCTTATCTTGTTTATATTTCTGTCTCTCATATCTTCATCCTGTGTCTTTTACTTTGTTTCTTCCCATCAACATGTAAATATACACCTTTTATGCCACTCTCCCCTTTGTTCTCTATTTCTCAGTCTCACAAGCTTTCTTTTAGTTTTTCACATGCCCATTTTCCTTCCTCCTTTAGGGCTTTCATGTTCTTTTTATGCCTGGAACGCTCTTTCCACTTCCCATTAAAACAGATGCTGCAGCTTATATCTGTTTGATTCTTGAAATATATTCTCCCATTTATAAGAAATAATTGAAATAGTTAAATATATTGTTAATATTTATTATATATATAGACTAAAACAATAATAGCATTTTAATTTTGAAGTAATATTGCATTCATGAAATATTACACCATTTCATAGTTTATAGGCTCATAACCTGAATAGAGATGTTCAGTACACAAGGAACTTTTGAAAAATTAACATGTTCTTACTTGCATTTAATAATCAACTTCTGACATTAATTTGGTTTCTCAAAAATATTAGTCATCTTCTTTTACTGAGTATATAGTTGGGACCATCATTTTCAGTATCAATTAATTGTAAAACTTAAATTTACTAAAAGAAAATGAGTGTAATTTCTTTTTGTAGCATTCTTTTTCCAAAACCAAAAATTTTTAAATAAATGCAGATAACTTGTTTTTGATCATTACTGTTTTTTCCCTAGTTAATTGCTTAAATGTGCTGTATTCATTTGTAGGTTTTAGTAGCTTTGTAGCCTTGCAAAGTCTCCACTACAGTTTTACAAAATTTATGTCTTGGGAGACATAAACTAAATAATTATTTAGATACTAAGGAACTGTTTTTCTTCTTAGAGTAGAAAATTATAAGTAAATTTCTGACTTCACAAAGCCATATTAAGTTTATATGGAAAAGGTTTGTAGTGATACCACTGCTACTTTCGTTTTTTTTTTTTTTTTTTTTAACATCTTTATTGGGGTATAATTGCTTTACAATGGTGTGTTAGTTTCTGCTTTATAACAGAGTGAGTCAGTTATACATATATATATGTTCCCATATCTCTTCCCTCTTTGGCTATTGACTTTTTTAAACCACATTTTACACGGGGTAGGGAAGTAGTGCATCTTGGTGAACACAGAACATACTTTTCGACTTAGACATATCTGGGTTAGACACCCCTTGCCATTCACTGACCTTGGGTTTATGTTTTCCTCTGTCAAGTGGAGATTTCACATATTGAAATCACATGCTTCACATATTCAAAATATGTGAATTTCACATATTCATAATATTCACATATTATGTAGGTTTGTAAGGGAAAAAAAATGACAAAATGTTAAGTATCTAGTCGAGGCCTCAGCCCAGAGTGGGGCACTATTATGGTCAATAACCTGGTAGAGGAAGGAGAGTCAGATGGTATGATTTGTCTCTAGCTCCCCCCAACCCCCCATGTCTCTTAAGATAGTCTTGAACTCCTTCAGACAGTGATTAAGACACAGAAGACTCCACTGGT